ATAAATAATATATGTTAAAAAAATACATGAAGGCTGGATGCGGTGGCACTGCCTGTAGTCCCAGCTACTCGGGAGGCTGAGGCTGAAGGATCACTTGAGCCCAGGAGTTCTGGGCTATAGTGGGCTATGCTGAGTGGGTGTCCGCACTAAGTTCAGCATCAATATGGTGACCTCCCAGGAGCAGGGGACCACCAGGTTGCCTAAGGAGGGGTAAACTGGCCCAGGTCGGAGACAGAGCAGGTCAAAACTCCTGTGCTGATCAGTAGCGGGATCGCGCCTGTGAATAGCCACTGCACTCCAGCCTGGGCAACACAGTGAGACTCTGTCTCTAAAAAAATGTTTTTAATTGTTTTAAATATGAAGAAAAACCAGGAAATGGTTAATATAAGATTCAGGGATTAGCACAGAAAAGAAGCACATGGGACCCTTCAGTAGTATTGGTAATTACTTGATTTATTTATTATTTCTTTGAGATGGAGTCTCACTCTGTCACCCAGGCTGGAGTGCAATGGCCTGATCTGTGTTCACTGCAACCTCCACTTCCCGGGCTCAAATGATTCTCGCCCACCACCACATCTGGCTAATTTTTGTATATTCTGTAAAGATGGGTTTTCACCATGTTGGCCAGGCTGGTTTCAAACTCCTGACCTCAAATGATCCACCTGACTCAAACTCCCAAAGTGCTAGGATTACAGATATGAGCCACCACACCTGGCCTTGGTTTTTTGTTTTTAGGTTTTGTATTTGTTTTCTTAAATTAGGGCATGCTGCTGGGTGTGGTGGCTCATGCCTGTTATCCCAGCACTTTGGGAGGCCAACGCTGGTGGATCACCTGAGGTCAAGAGTTCAAGACTGGCCTGACCAACATGATGAAACTCTGTCTCTACTAAAAATACAAAATTAGCCTGGTGTAGTGGTGTACACCTGTAATCCCAGCTATGTGGGAGGCTGAGGCAGAAGAATTGCTTGAACCCAGGAGGTGGAGGTTGCTGTGAGCCAAGATCATGCCATTGCACTCCAGTATGGGTGACAAGAGTGAAACTTCATCTAAAAAAAAAAATTAGGGAGTGGTTTAATGGGTGCCCATTTTATTACTATGCTTCCTAGTTTACATAAAATGACAGTTCTGGAAACGTTGTCTTGCTTTGTTCATGCCTGTTTCCTTAACACCAAGAACAGTGCCTAGTTCATAGTAGATACTCAAAAACTATGTGTTGAATAAATGGATATAAATTACTTGCATTATTTTATGTGATTCAAATGTTTCATAATTTTCTTTTTTCAAATGTTTTGGTTTTTATTTTTTGTAGAGATGGGGTCTTACTATGTTGCCCAGGCTAGTCTCAAACTCTTAGGCTAATGCAATCTGCCTGCCTCAGCTTGCCAAAGTGCTGAGCTTACAGGCATGAGCCACATGCCTAGTAGGTTTTCTTAAAAGAAGGAAAAAACCTACTTTAATTATGTTTTCCCCTTGATTATTCTAGCTGGAAGTTATACTCCTTCCTCAATTCCTTTTACTCATATAGCCTACTAAATACTGCTAATATTATAGTTACATGTGTACATGTCTTTCTTACTGATTTTAAATTTATGTAAACAAGGGAGTATGTTTTCTCCTTTTTTATACCCATTCACAATATGTAGCACAATACTTCTCACATAGTAGGTGCTCAGTAAATATTGGTTTTGGCCGGGCACAGTGGCTCACACCTATAATCCCAACATTTTGGGAGGCTGAAATAGGCAGATTGCTTAAGCTCAGGGGTTCAAGGCCAGCCTGGGCAACAGAGTGAAACCCCACCTCTATAAAAAGTACAAAAATTAGCTGGGCATGGTGGCATTTGCCTATAGTCCCAGCTACTTGGGAGGCTGAGGCGGGGGGATCGATTGAGCCCAGGAACTCAAGGCTGCAGTGAGCCATGATCATGTCACTGCACCCCAGCATGGGCAACAGAACAAGACCCTGTCTCCAAAAAAATAAAATAAAATATAAATAAATAAATAATACACAAATTTAAAGGAACTTGAAGTTCTTCCCCTGCAAAAACTTTTTTGGCCATCCCTCTGCCATCAATGCTCCCACTGATTCCTCCCTCAGAAGCCTCGATACCAGTAATCCTTTCCTTCCTTCATTTACGGTTTTCTTTCTCTAGAAGTAGGGAGGTTTACCGACAGCTCACAGTCCTGCTTTCTTAGGGAACTAATTTAGCAAGGGAAAGTAGAAACTCTATCAGTCAGTTCCCACCAGCCCATCACAGCCCAGGAGCTTGAAATTAACAATCACAAATAAATAGAGCAGCTCAATATCTAAGAATTATTGGTACTGCAAAAGTTCCACTTTAACTTGCAGAAAAGTGCCTGTTTAGCAGAAAGAAAGAGAATCCTGGAAAGTTAACACTGGATGGTATCTTAGAGATCACCTGCTTCTCTCCCTGATTTTTCCAAATGAGGAAACTGATGCTTTGAGAGATGAAATAACTTGCATAGTTATTCAGCTAGTTAGTAGCAGGGCTGGGACTAGATGCCCAGTCTCCTGGGAGAGACAGCTGTTCTATCCATGCCACTTGCTGGGGATGTGCATCTAGCAAAGCACATTATAAAGTAGTGGCTCATCTTAAGCCATGAGGAATGGGAATCAAACCATTTAAACTCTTCCTCTTCTCTCTAGCAATATCTTTTTTTTTTTCTTTGCATTTCTCTGTGTCCTGGTGTCTCTCTCTCTCTCTCTCTCTCTCTCTCTCTCTCTCTTAAAATCACTCCTATTTCTTTCTGTGGTTCCTTCTCATTGTGGCATACCTGCATGATTGTCTTGATTTTTCTGCTCTAAGCTATGGTTTCTTGTCCAAAGAAACATATACAAACCAATCAAAACCCTTCCTTGGTGACCTCTGTAGAAAAGAATACTTGGAATTTCCATGTGAAAGAAGCTGAACCTCTCTCCTAGCCTATCCAGTCAATTAAAATGAGTCTCTGGCCCCCCTGAGGGTTGTTAACCAATCCTAAGAAAGAAAAGATCAATCTCATTTCTTTGTCACCACTGTGCCGGGAGGCTGCCAACCAGTCAGAATCTGCCACTCGCAGTCATTAGAAAAACTGGCCAATCAGCCCAACCTTGTTATATGGTCTGGTAGGAAAAGAAAGAGACTGATTGGAAAGGATAGTTCTGTCTCCACACCCTTTCCTTCCTGGACCCCGGTTTTCCCTTTGTGAAGTCAAAGAAGGATCCTTCCCAAGCCCATAGTTAAGAAGATCCCCCGACCCTCAGCTAAGCTTCTCTTGGATCTTTTGTTGTCTTCAAATTCACCCCCCTTACAAACCTCCTTTTTGTAGCCTCACTGCTCCCTTGAGGATCTGATTTCTTGCTTCAAACCTGATAGTAATAATAGTCCCAGGATTTGCAGCCTCCCCTCAGATCTCCATTGGCCAGCACGTAAAATAACTTGTTTTGTATGATTTAAGCAGGTGAAAATGTTTTTAAAGTGTAGCTGAGTCTCTTTCAGGAGACACTATCTCAAGGACCTTGCAATAAACAGTCTAAAGGGAGCAGCGCAGAACTGAGTTGCAATGCTTTTAACTATAGAAACAGTGATGGTGGTGGTGGTGACGATGAGCATTTTGATGCTAGCAGTTACTGAACTCTTACTGGGTACCAAGTACCTTGCTAAAAGCTTCATATCTATTATCCCAATATTGGCTGTGTGGTAAATACTATTATTCTTCCCAATTCACATAGGAGGAAATCTATTTAGAGGGGGTTAAATAGCTAGCTCAAGGTCACACAGCAATTTGGGAACTCAGATTTGTCTGAACGCAGAGCCCATTATTCTATGAGGGTAAGAGAGTGTTAACATTGCGCGCTGTCACAACTTTTGGATAGAGCCAGCTTTAGCTTCCTCCCAGGCCCCTTCTCTGATCCTCCTCTGGGATTGTTAGCCATATCTGAGTGTCTGAATTGTCACAACAGCTGCAACAGCTATTTGGACGTGGTGGCTCCTGAGAACCGTGGACTTTCTCTGCCACTGAGGATGTGAAGCTGAGAGCTAAAAAGAATTCCGTTTTGGTGGGAGTGGAGATGTCTGGAGACCTCAGGGGATAAACTCGTGTCTTTGCCAGCCTGCCTTTCTCCTAACAGCATCTCCACAGTGCCTGGCACCACTCGGTACTTGATAAATACCTGTTGATTGATTTCCAAGGATCCCAGTTCCAACCTACTTGCCAGCTCGGGGCAAAATCAACAACTAGAACTGGAGATTTGGGGATTTCAGAGGAACCCCTGAGAATCCTAACTGAGCTGGAAACGTGAATTTAGGAAAGACGAGCAGTCCCCTGCCCTCCTCTTCTCTCCCGCTTCTCCTATTTCTCCCCACTCCTTCCCCTCCCTTTCAGGAGCTCAGGGCCATAAAAATGCAGATGGAGGATCGGTGTGAAATAACGGGCCCATATAAATCCCTCTGCCGCCCGCCTGCAAGATGGATTGGCCGCATTGAAATTCCTCCGCGAGGATAATTAAACTCGGGGCCTCATCCGGGCAAAATTACATTCCTGTAATGGCGTCGCTCGGGGTCCCGGGAAATTGCTCCGTGGGCTTTCAGCGGCGGTTTTTATCGCCGGCCAGGGTGTGCCTGGCTGCGGCTCGCCTCTCCTCCGGGACCGTAAAGCTGCTGCCGTGATTTATCCTCCCCTTCTCCCAAATCCGATTAAATGGAGGAGCTTGGGGCCGGGGCGCCGCGGGGCCCGGGAGCCGGGAGGGGGCGGCGGGAAGGACGGGGCCAAGGAGGGGAGGACAAACGGCCCCTCAGAGGGTGGTGGATTTGCCTTTATTTACAGCCACGGCTTTCTTTTTATTTTTTATTTTTTATGGCGTTTGGTTGAGTTTTTCCCGTCTTTCTCGTGCTGCGTTCAAGCACGATGCAGGGACGGCAGGAATTTGGAACTGGGTAGGCCTTGTCGCTCTGTTCCAAAGGGCAGGGCAGATCCTGTCTGGGAGACAAGAAGGCCCTCCACCTCCTTCCATCAGCGGAAGGACGAGCGAAGGGGAGAGAAGACGGGCGTTCAGGAGAGCATCTGGGGGAGAAGGGTGCTGCTTATTCCAACTCGCGTAGGTGAAACCTAAGCGGAGGCTCGGGCAAGCCTGGGGTGACCTCGCAACCTCACAGCGGGTCGCAGGTGCCCGTTATTCCTAGACTGTCCCAGGAGTCAGGAAAAAGAGCTTCGGAACATATTTAGCCCTATCTTCTGGCTCACTGATGCTGCTTTTCTCACGGTTTATCACAGGAATGGAAAGGAGAAAACGGGAGGGGGGAAAGGGCGAAGCCACCAGAAGCAGCTGTGGCATTTTGCTGACTATTCGCCCATTGGGCCGGCTTGCCATCCAGTGATGCCAGGTTCTCGAAGCGACATAAAGCAGGACTCCTAGGATCTTCCTCCTGCTGCATTTTAGGCACTGAACCCCAATCCCGACTGTATGTTAACACTGAATTCTGAGTAGTAGTTGTTTTGGCAGTGTGACTGCGCATGCTCGGAAAGGGGACGCAAGCCGAGATCCCAAACGCTGTACAGTGCAAACCGCACGCCACGTTACGGATCGGCTTACTCTACGCAGTTGGCCTCATTTCTCTGCACTGTCGGCTTTCCCTGTAGTTTCTCCTCTCGAACGCCAGGTGGAGCAACCGGCCGGATACCGCCACAGCCCTGGCAGGCGGCGCTGTGGTGCCTGGGCCGATTCTCCACGTTGCAATCGCTCTATCTGTGACGGAGCGACTCGTTGGCCCGGGCCACGCATGCGCTGAGCCTTCCTTTCGCTATTCCCGCCGCTCTGCCCCTCCTCTGTCTTCTCTGCACTGGGAGCAGGTAAGGCTTTGGGATGTTGTTCCCTCTGTGCGCCGCGCACGCGCGCGGGACACCCTACCTCGCGCGGATGTTTTGAGGTTCTTACCTTGCTTGCTCCCACCCTGGTCCTCGCTCCCTCCCCGGCTCCCGCTATCCCTGAGTCTTAGAGCTGGCTCTTCCGCATGCCGGTGACCTCCAACCGCGCGGGCCTGGCGCCATCTTGGATGTCTCGTAGCGGGAGGGTGCCTTGGAGCTAGCCAAAGTTAGTTCCTGGAGTGCTGCCTTTCACCTGTTCCACCCAGCCCTTATAGACACGCTTTTCTCGCCCTCTGGCCCTATCAGATTGTCACAACCCTCAGTCCCTCCCTTCCTATCTCTACTTTCTCTTCTCATCCTGACTTAAGCCTTCTTATTCTGAAATCTCCAGACTTTCGGCCCCAGGACCTCAGGTTCTCCGAGCAATGGAGATAGAGGATCGTCTAAAGTCACCAGTCCCTCTAGTCAGCATCTCTCAATTTAAAAAGTAAACCTTGAACATGGTAGAAGTGGGAAAAAAAAAAAAAAAAGCCAAACATGCCTCCCGACAGGTTGTGGCTTGGGATAGCTAAAGCAGAAATGAGAGGCCGGTTGCTTTGGAATCACTAGTTATTTACCAGTACCTTTCTCGCACCCTTGCTCGCTGGTGAAGTTGGAAAAGTCACAGTGGTGGGCTAGAGATCAGGGTTTCTGTTCGAGGCAGCAGGCCCGGAAAGGTGGGGTAAGGCCAAACTAGTGAGGCAGCTTGAGTCCCTGCCTGCCAGCTTTAATGTAAAGGATCAGTTAACTTCCCCAGATACTGCCATTAGGAGGAAAAGAAAGTTTAAGGAAAGAAATGGTTAAGTCAGCACCCCTGTGACTCTTCTACACTAAGGAAAAAGCCCATGATGATTTAGGAGTCTTGATTCTGGATAGTGCCTTTGTCCAAGTTGTAGGCTAACAGTTGCAGACTTGGCTTGGTTAGGTAGCCAGTGGTGGGATCACTTAATTGCCACCCTTTGTTATGGGTTTATTACATGCCAGTACCACATTAAACTCTGTATGTTAATTGGTAAATGAAGATATTTAATCCCCCTAAGAACTGCATTTTACAAATGATGATATTGAGGTATAATTACCTTCAGAAAAAAACATGCCTTCCTTTTCTAAAAGCCTTAAAGAACTATTGGATTTTGACCCAAGAGAACCTGAATAGTACAGCAGCAAAACTGGGTTAGAGTTACATATGGGCAAAAATCAGAGTTCTAGATAGGACAAAAGCTGAGGATGTCCATTAATCTAAAAGTAATTAAGGCTGGGTGTGGTGGCTCATACCAGTAATCCCAACACTGGGAGCCAAGGTGGGAAGATCGGTTGCGGCCAGGAGTTCCAGACAGGGTCACTACAATAAATTAACAATAAAGTAAGCAATTAAGATCTTGTATTCAGAAGTGTTATAACCTGGGATAATTTGAGTTCACTTCATTTAAGGAAGTGGCATTTAATAGGCCTAAGCATTCACTGAGTATCTCAGCCTGTGACATTAGAAAGCATGTAACCGGCCAGGTGCAGTGGCTCACACCTGTAATCCCAGCACTTCGGGAGGCCGAGGTGGGCGGATCACGAGGTCAAGAGATCAAGACCATCATGACCATGGTGAAACCCTGTCTCTACTAAACAATAGAAAAATTAGCTGGGCATGGTGGCACGCGCCTGTAGTCTCAGCTACTCAGGAGACCAAGGCAGGAGAATTGCTTGAACCCAGGAGGTGGAGGTTGCAGTGAGCCGATATTGTGCCACTGCACTCCAGCCTTGCAACAGGGCAAGACTCTGTCTCAGGAAAAAAAAAAAAGCATGTAACTTAAAAGATGCAAGTTCAAATCCCACCTCTACCACTACTGTAGTTTCAAGACTGGGTTTAAGGTCCTGCTCTTGCGTTAAGTCTATCTAATAATCATCTGGGAAACTTGTTTGAAATACAGAGCACTTGAGCCTTATTCCCAGAGATCTTTTTTGTTTGTTTATAGATGGGGTTTCATGTTGTCACCCAGACTAGAGTACAGTGGCATGATCATAGCTCACTGAAGCCTCCAACTCCTGCAGGTTCAAGCAATCCTCCTGCCTCAGCTTCTGGAGTAGCTGGGAATACAGGTGCACAGCTACCTCACCCAGCTAATTTTATTTTTTGTAGAGACAAGGTCTTGCTGTTTGCCCAGACTGATGTCAAACTCCTGGCTTCAAGTTATCCTTCCACCCCAGCTTCTCAAGTGTTGGGATTACAGGAGTGAACCACTGAGCCTAGCTCCCCCAAGAGATCTTGACCAGGAAGGTCCAAGTTGGGCCCAAGAATATGTATTTTTTTAATACATACACCACCCAGATAATTCTGCTTCAGATGGGCTTCTCACTTCACTTGGAGAAACCCTGCCTTTAGCTTTTTAACTCGTCTTCTCTTCTCAGGTAAGTTCACCTCTACCAACTTAGACACCTGTAGGGTGTCTGGACTTCTTTATCTTGGGGAGACAATTTAATACCTTTTAGAGTAACTTCAGAGTTCCTCCTTGATCTTCCTCATCCTATTAATTAATACAAGAAATTGAAGTATTTTGAGGAATCAGGTACTTCCAGGGATCAGCAAAGAGATTGTTGGAGACCTTCCAGTGTCTTGGCCATCAACAAATACCTCCCAAAACTATAAAGACTCTAATCTTTGAAGGGCAACTTTTCAAGGCCCAGACAATGAAGTCTTGAAAAGCGTTCCTTTTGAATAAAAACTGAGGAAAACTTAGGCAAAAGACACTCTGGGAATATTCCTCTGGCAGCTGCAAATCCATGAGACTATGGAAATGGGTAACAGGTGTTAAAGCTGAGCCCAAATGATCCCTTGTTCCGACCAGGGGGGAAGTAACTTGATTATAAGGAAATCCTGGGAGCTGTGTCGGGTTTCTGGAAGAAGTCATGACTTCAGGGTTCTAATTCTATTTCTGCCCATGACTTAAGGTCAGTCACTGTTCTCTGGGCCAGTTAAGCTTTCTAGGGTCCCACTTCTGCTAATAAGGATGTAGTTTAGTGAATAAGGAGAGTGTTTACAATACTGCTTCTGTAATTCCAGCTCTCCTGCCACAGCCCCTCAACCTCTGAAAATGTTTGTCTGCTCCAAGTTCATCTCCACTTCCTCCTTGGTGAGTACCTGATTTTCTGGGAGAGTTTTAAAGGAGAGACATCTTGTCTCTCTCTCCATCAGACCTTGTTCTTCACAGCACAGCTGAGTGAAGGTGAATAAAATTATTGGGCCTGGGTGCAGTGGCTCATACCTGCAATCCCAACACTTTGGGAGGTCCAGGCAGACAGATCACTTGAGTCCAGGAGTTTGAAACCAGCCTGGCCAACATGGTGAAACCTCATTTCTACTAAAAAACCTCATTTCTACAGTTGGGCATGGTGGCAAGTGCCTATAATCCCAGCTCCTCGGGAAGCTGAGGCAGGACAATAGCTTGAGCCCAGGAGGTGGAGGTTGCAGTGAGCCAAGATTATACCCCTGCCTGGGCGAAAGTGGAAGACTCTGTCTCAAAAGATAAATAAACAAGATTCTTGGGAAGGGAAGGCCCTTTGCTGTCATTGCCTAAGAGGAGAGAATGAATGCTTGCTAGATGTTCTCTTGCCCCGTATCACTTAGTGGCCAGTTGATTTTTTAATTTTTTTTTTTTGAGACAGTTTTGCTCCTGTTGCTCAGACTGCAATGGCGTGATCCACTGCAACCTCCACCTCCCAGGTTCGAGTGATTCTCTTCCTTCAACCTCCCGAGTAGCTGGGATTACAGGCATGTGCCACCACGCCCGGCTAAGTTTGTGTTTTTAGCAGAGACAGGGTTTCTCCATGTTGGTCAGGCTGGTCTTGAGTTCCCAGCCTCCCAAAGTGCTGGAATTACAGGCATGAGCCACTGCACCTGGCTATGGCCAGTTAATTCTTACCCAACCATCTTAAGAGTGGAGATGAGAATCTAGACCACATTATTCCTATTCCTGAAACTATATGTCCTGTAAACTGGCCATCCAGAGTGGTAAACAAGTAGTTAGACTACATAACTTGGACTGAGTATGTACTGTGTGTAGGATCTTGTCCTGAGTGAGCCATAGCTAGGAGTTCATTCTGGGACTAAAATTTGGATGGGAAGCTAAACTTTACATAAATACACATTGGAAAGGTATTTAACTCAGAAACAACAGTATGGGAAAATTTTTTAAATAGTAGGTAGAGGAGGCAGTTGGTTCATTCACAAATAAAAAGGAGTACCATTTATTGAGCACTTACCATGTGCCTTTGCACTGAGTTTACGATTTGGTATACATAATCTCATTTACTCTTCAAATCGACTCTGAGAGATGATATTTTGATTTGATAAATGAGAATACAGGCTTAGAAAGATTTAAGTGACTTAACCTGAGAGCACACTGGTGGCAATAGAGTTAAGATTTGAATCTCGGCCGGGCGCGGTGGCTCATGCGTGTAATCCCAGCACTTTGGGAGGCTGAGGCGGGTGGATCACGAGGTCAATAGATCGAGACCAATCCTGGTCAACATGGTGAAACCCCGTCTCTACTAAAAATACAAAAAATTAGCTGGGCGTGGTGGCGCATGCCTGTAATCCCAGCTACTCAGGAGGCTGAGGCAGGAGAATTGCCTGAACCCAGGAGGCAGAGGTTGTGGTGAGCCGAGATTGCGCCATTGCACTCCAGCCTGGGTAACAAGAGCAAAACTCCGTCTCAAAAAAAAAAAAAAAAAAGATTTGAATCTCACTTTATCTGATGCCTAAGCCCTGGCTATCAATCACCATGTATCTGTCTTGGCGTCACTGGCTTGGGGATAGTCAGAAAAGGCTACTGGAATGAGGTAAATTTTGAGCATGAATCTTTGTTCTTATTTACCAAAAGTATCTTTTTGGATCCTTTATTCAGGGAAAGTCACTGACTTTTTTCTTGTGGGCTGACCATTACCCATACTGATGGCCCCCAACTTTAGATGATTTGACTTAAGATTTTTTTTTATGATGATAATACAAAAATGATAATGCATTCGTTAGAAACCATACTTCGAATTATGGATCTTTATCTTTTCCCAAGCTAACGATGTGTGGTACAATACTCTGTTTCAATACTCATCAGCAAGCCACAGCTTTCAGTCACCCACCCAATCATGAGGGTAAACAACCAGTACTTTACAGGGTACTGTGTTGCTAGGTGATTTCACCCCACTGTAAGCTAATGTAGGTGTTTTGAGGACATTTAAGGCTAAGCTGAGCCAAACTATAGTGCTTGGTAGGTTAGCAGTATTAAATGCTTTTTCAATGTATGCTGGATTTATTTGAACATAACCCTATGCTAAGTTCAGGAGCATCTGTATGTATCTCCCTTGCTGAGTGAGGCAAATGCTTCTGAGGCTTAGATTTCTTCTTCTCAAAAGCTATAAAAGGATACAGCAAGGGTGGATGCTCCCTTGTTGCCCAAAAGGAAGTAGACTTTCTTTCCTTAAAGCAAAACCTGAGAAGCAAGAGAAATGGTGTGGTTCTTTAATTTCTGCTTTGCTAAAAGGAAGAATGATTCAAAATTAGAATTTCAGTGTGAGGATGGAAAGGCCATCAGAGAAGAGAAGATCCTATCTGATGCTGTAATAGTATGGCATAGTTCTGAAACTTCTCTCCAGTCTTCCTTGACCTTCCTGCCCCTATATGTCATTCCTGCTAGGTCAAGAGCACCTCACAGCTGCTGAGCCGTCCACTATCTACAGTTTTGCTGAAAAGACCAGAGACACTGACAGATGAGGTACCTTACCCATAGAGTTGGGACTGTGGTTTTGGGGGTGATGAGTGGGAGGGGTTACCTGCCAGAACCAGGAGGTAGAGTGTTGAGGACAGTCATCATAGGCCATGGGCTTTAGGTGGAGATGGAGGCCAGTTAATGTATACTGTATACTATAGTGCTCCGGCTTTTGCCACTGGCAGCACATGCCCATGTGCACTGCTGCTAACTGCTTTTTTTTGGCCTAGTTGAGTGATTGCAGTTGGGAACATCTAGTCTAGGAAGATGATCTCTTTGGGGCAGCAAGAACAGACTTAAGACCTCAGTTTTACACTTCTTGACCACACCTGAGTCTTAAAGGCATTTGAAGTCTACATCCTACATTAAAAGGTTCTACTTAACCAGCATTTTAGGGGCTTAAACAATTTTGTGTTTGAGGGAGAAACCATGGGATTTGGCAGCATAAAGCCTTTAAATGGTACCAAAGTTACCAAAGCAAAAGAGTTTCCAAAAATCTTGACCTTCTACCTGCCTCTTCTTCACAGAGCCCCAGCAGATTGGCAGTCTCACGTCCCCTTACCTCATTTGTCTCTAGCCGCAGCTTCCAAACCAGCGCCATTTCAAGGGACATCGACACAGCAGCCAAGTTCATTGGGGCTGGGGCTGCCACAGTTGGGGTGGCCGGCTCTGGGGCTGGGATTGGGACTGTGTTTGGGAGCCTCATCATTGGTTATGCCAGGTAAGATAAGTTGGGCCCTCCACTGGTTCTCTGATATGCTTTCCAAAGGTGTGAACTTATTTGAGGGTCTAGAACTACACTGTCCCATACTGTAGCCACTAAGCTACATGTTTTTTGTTTGTTTTGAGACAGTCTCGCTCTGTTACACAGGCTGGAGTGCTGTGGCCCAATCTCGGCTCGCTGCCACTTCTGCCTCTGGATTCAAGTGATTCTTGTGCTGCGCGTGGGGGCAGGCGCCTATAATCCAAGCTACTCAAGAAGCTGAGGCAGGAAAATCGCTTGAACCCAGAAGGTGGAAGTTACAGTGAGCCAAGATCATGTCACTGCACTCCAGCCTGGGCGACAGAGCAAGACTTTACGGGAAAAAAAAGGAAAACAAATATAGGCTAGACGAGGTGGCTCATGCCTGTAATCCTGCACTTTGGGAGGCCAAGGTGAGTGGATCACCTGAGATCAGGATTCAAGAACAGCCTGGTCAATATGGTGAAACCCCATCTCTACTAAAAATACAAAAATTGGCTGGGTGTTGTGGTGGGTACCTGTAGTCCCAGCTACTTGGGAGGCTATGAGAGGAGAATTGCTTGAACCTGGGAGGCAGAAGTTGCAGTGAGCCAAGATGGTGCCACTACACTCAGCCTGGGCAACAGAGTGAGAGTCCATCTCAAAAAATATAGATGGGTGGATGGATAGAATGTTTATATCATTGTGTTATTAAAGAAAGTTTTATGAACAGCTTTGGTCTAGAGCAGGTATTGGCAAACTAAGGCCCAAGGGCCAAATCTGGGCCATAGTCTGGTTTTGTATGGTTGAGCTAAAAATAGTTTTCCATTTTTAAAATGTTTCATTTTTTTTTTTTTTTTAAGCAAAAGAGATGGCCGGTGCAGTGGCTCATGCCTGTAATCCCAGCACTTTGGGAGGCCAAGGTGGGCGGATCATGAGGTCAGGAGTTCAAGACCAGCCTGACCATCATGGTGAAACCCCGCCTCTACTAAAAATACAAAAATTAGCCAGGCGTGGTGGCACACACCTGTAATCGGCAGCTACTTAGGAGGCTGAGGCAGGAGAATCACTTGAACCCGGGAGACAGAGGTTGCAGTGAGCCGAGATCGTGCCACTGCGCTCCAGCCTGGGAAACAACACACGACTCCATCTCAAAAAAAAAAAAGAATAAAGCAAAAGAGACTAATTGCGGCCCACAAAACCTAAAATATTTACCATGTGGCGCTTTGCAGAAAAAATTTACCTTCTCTGGTCTAGAGACTCAGTGAACATAGTGGCTTTACTGCTGTTTTTTCCTGTCTCTGGGGATTTCTCTCTGTCACTCCTGGGAAAACTGACACTGCAGCCAGCCCTGGACTGTTTAGTCGCGCCAACTCTGGATAACTCACTGTTAAAACCAAATTAATCTTCTAGAGACCAGTAAGTTCTCTTAATGTCTTTTTGGGAAATAGAGTTCTTTTTAAGAATTTGTATTAAACAAGAAGTCTAACTGCCACTTTATTCACTATTCTGTTAAATGCTGGTGTTGATACACCTTACCCATCAAGACTTCTGGAGGTATCATTAAGGGAAATGCAGATTATATATTGGCTTTCAGTATTGGGAGTCCTTTATCCATACTACTACAACTCATATCATAAACCCCACAGACCATTTGTAACTTTTTTTTTTTCGAAAAATAGTCTCACTGTAGCCCAGGCTGGAGTGCATTGGTACACTCTCTGCTCACTGCAGTCTCTGTCTCCTGAGTTCAAGCGATTCTCCTGCCTCAGCCTCCTTAGTAGTTGGGATTACAGGCATGTACCACCATGCCCAGCTAATGTTTTTTTTCTTTTGAAGCACTGTGGTTTGTAACACCTAGCTAATTTTTGTATTTTTTTAGTAGAGACAGGGTTTCACCATGTTGGCCAGGCCGGTCTCCAACTTTTGGCCTCAAGTGATCCACCTGCTTTGGCCTCCCAAAGTGCTGGGATTACAGGTGTGAGCCACCGCACCCAGCCCATTTGTAGCTTCTTAAAGCCCCAAATCTTTTGACTGTTTGAAATGAGAGAACATAATCTGTCCCTCTTACTCTCTCTTTTTTTAAATTTTTTTGAGACAGAGTTTCACGCTTGTTGCCCAGGCTGGGATGCAATGGTTTAATCTTGGCTCACTGCAACCTCTACCTCCCAAGTTCAAGTGATTTTCCTGCCTCAACCTCCCAAGTAGCTGGGATTACAGGCATACACCACCACACCTGGCTAATTTTGAATTTTAAGTAGAAACAGGGTTTCTCCATGTTGGTCAGGCTGGTCTTAAACTCCCAACCTCAGGTGATCTGCCCACCTTGGCCTCCCAAAGTTCTGGGATTACAGGCGTGAGCCACCACACCCAGCACCCCTTACTCTCTTGTCTTCTAAAAGAGTGGTGTTCTAGTTGTGTTCCGTTAATCCCTAGGATTCTGAGGATCTCTCCTAAAGACTGTCTTAGAGAGTAAAGGGGAGACCAAGCCATTAAAATTTCCCACTACTTTTGTACCATTGCAGTTTGGCTTTTATATATTTATTATTTTGGAGTTCTGCTGCTTAAAGTTTGAAAACACTGCTCTAGATAGACCGTGCCACTCTGGATGCCTCTTCTATCCTATTGGGGACCTGGATATTAAGTGTCTAGGCCAAAAGGTCTTAATTTGTGGTAATGAGATGGATGACCCATTAGAGAAGGTCATGATTATACCTGGGCCATGTTACAGAATTTTAGATTGTCCTCTTTCCCCCTTCATTCAATTCTTACAGAGCCCTTGGGGAATCGGGGCAAGATTTTGGGCCTGATGGTGTTACCCTGAAAGGCTCTTTACATAAGATAATCTTGAAGAGGGGAATTCTCCCTGAGCCCATCTTAGATATTTATCCTTTTTTTTGTATGAACTAGGAATTCAGTCTTTTCTCCTCCCCTTCTCCCAGGAACCCTTCTCTGAAGCAACAGCTCTTCTCCTACGCCATTCTGGGCTTTGCCCTCTCGGAGGCCATGGGGCTCTTTTGCCTGATGGTGGCCTTTCTCATCCTCTTCGCCATGTGAAGGAGCCGTCTCCATATCCCATAGTTCTTTCTCCCATGTATGGTCAGCCCTGTGTGTTCCTTTTCCTATACCTCCCCAGGTACCCTGGGGAACGTGGTTGGCTCAGGGTTTGACAGAGAAAAGACAAATAAATACTGTATTAATAAGATGTTTCTTGAGTCTCCTGTGTATATTTATTTTCCACAGTTGGCTGAGTGCCTTAGTGAGAGTACAAGGCCCGAACGGTGGTGATGGTGCGAAACTCAACATGCATTTGGCTGGGGTCTCTTAATTCTGTTTCAGGAAAGCTTAATTCAAAATAGCACAACATTTTAAATAATTTCCACCTGGCATGGCCTGCCACTTGACTAGAAACATTGGGGTCAGTAGCAACTTAGAGTTCTGGCTTAAAATGTTGGCTAATAGGCTTTCTGTTTCCACTGTCACTATCCTGGTTCAGGCCCTTATTGTCATCCACCTCATCTATTGCAATAATGTCTTAACTGACCCTCTGCCTCTAGTCTCTTCCCTCCAGCATTTACTTCTCCCTACCACTGCCAGGTGAATCCTCTTTAAGCATAAGACTAGTTTTATCCATGACTGGTTCAAAAAGTCTCACCCCAGCTTCTCCGCTTTATCTTTTATTAGTCCTATACACGACCTAATGTGGTTGTCATTTTTCAGATATTTTCTTGTCTTTACTGTATCTTCCTGCCTTTTCCTTTCTCTGCCCAATTCTGCTTTCTTTACCTGAATCTTTGCTCATTTTCCTCTTTTCTTTTTTATTTCTTTTTTTTTTTTTTTTTTGAGATGGAGTATTGCTCTGTCACCAGGTTGGAGTGCAATGGCACGATCTCAGCTCACTGCAAACTCAGCCTTCTGGGTTCAAGCACGTCTCCTGCCTCAGCCTCCCAAGTAGCTGGGATTACAGGCATGCACTACCATGTAATTTTTTCTATATTTTCTGTAAAGATGGGGTTTTGCTTGCCCAGGCTGGAGTGCAGTGACACAGTCTCAGCTCACTGCAACTTCCACTTCCCGGGTTCAAGTGATTCTGCCTCAGCCTCCTGAGTAACTGGGATTACAGGCACCTGCCACCACACTCAGCTAATTTTTTGTAGTTTTAGAGAGAGGGTTTCACCACATTGGCCAGGCTAGTCTTGAACTCCTGGCCTCAGGTGATCTGCCTGCCTCAGCCTCCCAAGGTGCTGGGATTACAGGCATGACCCACTGTGCCCAGCCAAACCTTTGTCTTTATTGGGCCATATGTCAAAACAGCATGCATTTTGCAACATGTATTCTTAGGAAACATTCCTGATATCTTGGTGTTCTTACCATTTGATGAGAAAAAAGTAAAACAGGAAGATCTTTTTGTCCCCAGGCATCCTTAAAATTTACTTTTGGCTGGGTGCGGTGGCTCACACCTGTAATCCCAGCACTTTGGGAGGCTAAGGCAGGTGGATCATGAGGTCAGGAGATCGAGACCATCCTGGCCAACATGGTGAAACCCTGTTTCTACTAAAAATACAAAAATTAACCGGGAGTGGTGGCGTATGCCTGTAGTCCCAGCTACTCAGGAGGCTGAGGTGGGAGAGTTGCTTGAACTCGAGAGGCTGAGGTTGCAGTGAGCCAAGATCGCACTGCTGTATTCCAGCCTGGGCAGCAGAGTGAGACTATCTCAAAGGAAAACAAAAATTATTTTTAAGCATTTATCTCAAGGCACTGTAAATATTAGCACATGGTAACCAAAGTAGCCACTTTAGACATGGCAAAGACAGGGACAAAATACCATGCATGAGGTCAGTCCTGTCATTCCAAATGCTTGGCTTCTCTTATTAGTGTAAATGGTTAGTTACAGGTAATTTATTCCTGCTGCTTCCCCCAACCACCAGAGAATTTCCTCTCATCCTTTGAAGTGCTGTGGTGGACAGAATTTTTTAAATGACGCCCTTTAGAATGTCCTAACCTAATCCCCAGAATCTGAATTGGATATCCCTCCCCTAGTTATATTATATGGCACTGTTGACTTTAAGAAAGATTATCTTGGGGGGCGTTGTATCTAGTCACATGAACCCTCAAAAGCACCTTCTGAGGCACCCTTGCTGGCTTTGACGATAGAGAGGACCATATATAAGGACCAGAAAGTAGCATCTAAGAGCTGAGAGTGAGCCCCCTGCCAGCAAGGAAATGGGGACCTCATTCCTACAACTGCAAGGAACTGAATTCTACCAACAACCTGAATGTGTTTGGAAGTGGATTCTTCCCCAGAACCTTCAGATAAGAACCCAGTCCAAACAACTTTGGCTTTCTGAGACCCTAAGCAAAAAATCCAGTCAAGCCCACTGGATTTCTGACCTACAGAACAGTAGGGTAATGAACGTTTTAAACCACTAAGTTTGTGGTTTGTTATCTAGTAATAAAAAGCTAATACAAGTGCAGTATTCCAATCTGCAGTAGAAGGAATGACGTTTCATCTGGATCTTGAGTTGAATCTCCAAAAATTGATGTATCTGTTCTGATCCCTGCTGTTATGTTGCAGATAGGTAGCATTTTGCCTACCACTGGGTTCATTTTACCCCACTGCTTATTTTCTGAGTTTATGGGTAGGCTGTTTGGTTGGCTCAGTTCTGTCCCCAAGATAGATATTTTTAACCATAGTGGAGTATAGTCTTCCAGGAACTGTGTGGCTGCTTTTACAGAAATGAACTCTGCATATCTTGCTGGGGGGTGGTTGGGGTGTATGTGTGTGTCAGGATGGTATCTGAGCCCAAACAGACTTGAAGCCCCTCTGTATCCTTATGGCTTTTCCACTTCCATCTCCCAACATCTGGAGCAGGGACTTCAAGTTTCCAAAACATAGCTGCAAAGGATAGCAAACAGCTAGCCCATAGCTCCCTTAGCAACAGGAGAATAGTCAGTACGGATTTAAGATAGAAAATGTAGCTCAGGGAAAAGGTGTGCAGTACAAAAGACAGACCCATAAGTTTTTCAGAAAGCAGCTTGGTCCTGTGAGGTTGACCAAACTGAAAGTTCCAGAATCCTGGATTCAAGTCACTCAGGAATGGCTTTTGGTTAATTCTTCCTCTGCTTCAATTCCTTCTCTTGTGTGAAGTGGGTTACACCTTATCTGCCTCCCTGAGATGTCATGGAAATAAGCAAAATTAGGTCTTAAAACTACTTGGAAACCCACGTTGTGAAAATTATCTTTATCTCTGTTGTTTCTTAGTTACCAGTTTACCAGAAGTAACTTAACACTAGGATTCTCTGCCAGCACTAAAATTAGACTCTTCCACTGTGGGCTTTCCTTTTCTCTCTCTTGCTTTTGTTTTCAGGGTGTGTAGGGGGGAACATCTGTGCTGCTGCAGTTAATAATAAACCGAAGACTAAAGAACAACTTCTCTCACTAGAAAATCCTATTTTCATCCTACCCACCTGACCATCCTTTAAAAGAAGGAGCCCAAATCTGCCCTGGATTTTGATTATTTGATTCACTTTTGGAAATGTGCCTGAGAAAGCCTAGGGAATGAGAGAGTGGAATAAATGGAATTGGAATGTAGGGAAACTAAGCTCCTGATATTTCCAACCTCCCTTTCCTGGACAGATAGGCTTTCTGCCACTAAAATCGAAGTTCTCTGTCACATCACAAAAGGGCCTGGAGTTACTCTTAAGTATGCTGACATCTCTGGAGGTGGGTAATTTGGGTATTGGGCACTTTTCCTGCCCAGGGACATGGGAAAACCGAATAGGCAAGAAGGGAATCAATCTTTTCCAGCTGCAACCTAGAGAGAAAAGGAACAAATTCTTCACCAGGGAAGATTGTGTAAACAGCGCCTTTGGCTGGAGCCATAGGGTTGGGGAAGCAAAGAAAGGGATCTTTGTTCTCTCCTACCCCAGCCAGAGCACAATCGTAGAGCTGGGATTGTTTGCTTTGGCAAAAGACTCCCTGCCTGCAAGGGCTAGGCGTTCCAGAGACTGGTGAGGCCTCTGTTGGGTTTCCCTTATGGAGCTGAAGAGAGGACAACTCCCAGCCTAAATCTTTTACCTAAGGAAGTGAGCTGGGGACTCAGGGGGCCTGAGGCATCTGGCTTATACTTCTCTACCTTGGTTTGCCTCCTTCTCTTCCTACATTCACCTCATTACAGTTGTTAGTTTAATTGGCCTTGGTCCTCCTGCCTTTAAGGGTGCTTTTGGTTCTTGTACCAGTGTTCTATCAAAAGAAACTACATTTTCACAGAGAGCAAGACAATGCCAGAGCTCCTGTCTAAGGAACCCAACAGAAAGAAGGGAATTCTGACGTCATCTTATCCATCCTGTGACTTTAGGTGGTATCGCACATGACCCTGGCAATTATAGTCGATCTTTTCAAAAATCTCTGGAGATGTACGACTTTTCCTGGATAACATTCGTGTCTCACAAATGCAAGGAGATATTTATGTAGTGCTGCTTATGCCAGTGCTTTACAAATGCCATTTTATTTAATCCTCGAGACTACCCTATAAGGTAGATATAATCACCCCCATTTTACAGATTAGGATACTAGGGATTAGCAAAATGAAATAATTTGTCCAAGGTCACATAGATGATATACTAGTTTGCAAAGACTGCTATAACAAAGTACCACAAACTGAGTGCCTTTAACAGTACAAAGTTGCCAAGCCCAGTGGCTTACACTTGTAATCCCAGCGCTTTGGGAGGCCAAGATGGGCAGATCACCTGAGGTCAGGAGTTTGAGACCAGCCTGACCAACATGGAGAAACCCCGTCTTTACTAAAAATACTAAATTAGCCAGGCATGGTTGCACATGCCTGTAACCCTGGCTACTCGGGAGGCTGAGGCAGGAGAACTGCTTGAACCCAGAGGACAGAGGTTGCAGTGAGCCGAGATCTCACCATTGCACAAAAGCGAAATTCCATCTCAAAAACAAACAATAGAAAGTTGCTAAAATTAGCTGGTATGGTCGTGTGCACTCAGCCCGGTAGCTTTATGCTGCAGTAAGCTATGATTGTGCCACTACACTCCAGCCTGGGCAGCAGAGTCAGATCTTGCCTCTGTAAATAAATAAAAACAAGAGAAAGTTACTGTTTCACAGTTCTGGAGGCGAGAAGTTCAAGATAAAGGTGTTGGCAGGGTTGGTTTCTTCTGAGGGCTGTGAGAAAAAATATGTTCCAT